CCCAAAACCCCAAAACCCCAAAACCCCAAAACCCCAAAACCCCAATTCCTCCGATCTATCTAGATATAATTAAATAGCTTATCAAAAATGTCAGAAGAAGAAAAGATGGAGTCAGCTCACCAACTCTCCATAAGTGAAATGATCAATGCAAATGAGTCAAGGTAAGTTTAACCACAAGAATAACCTCAATATAATCTCCTTGACCTTCTAAACCATCAAATTTCCTATAATAATTAATTTCTAAGTCTCTTATTCCAAAACTAAGCTGGTTAACCATCATTTTCATTCGAGAAGGTTTTACAGAAGAACCTTACTAACCAGCATCGTGGACACTAACTAATTTAGTTTAGGAATTTTAGAGACGGAATAGCTGTTAGAGTGTCACAATACAGAACAAAGAAGAAAGAAGAAAATCTGCATCAAAGAGAACATGAGATATTAAATTCTATCCCTCCCAATTTCGATATTGCGATGCTTCATGGAAGGATAAGTAGGGTCCGTCAGATGAGTAAATACGGTCGACTTTCGTCTGATGATCTAGTAGTATCTCAAAATAAAATTAAAGACGGTGATCCATATTACTGTCCTTGATGACACATTTTGCTTAAGAACATTGATTCACCAAAGTACAAACTCAATGCGAGTGTTTACAGTCTGAAAGAGCTTGGAATAGGTCTTCCTCTGTACTTCTATTTCAAAATTATGATTATTATTGTTCTCTGAATTTTAACAGTAATGGTGACCATTCCAACTATGATTATTAATGCTTTGGACTCTAAAGGAGATGAATGGGTTGAGGAAGATGAGAACCCAAACTACTTCGCTATTGGTGCACATGGAAAAGAGGCAGAAAACTACAAAGTAGGGACTAATATCAACTCAATAATCGCTCTCAACACTCTAGGAATGATTATAGTAATGACTGTTTTCTTACTCTATTCTCCTATTATAACAAAGTGAAAGTGGATGGAAAATAAAGAAGAACAAAATATCAAAAGGGCTAACTATTTCACTGCTATTGTGTATAGTATCTCCCTAAGAACTCCTCCTGAAGATATTTTGAAATGGTTCCAGACACATCATGATGTGCCCAATAATGCTAAAATTGTGTACTCTTTCGATGTTCGAGAAATTATTAAAATAGTTAAGAGATATAAAATAGCCAAAAATAATAAACTTTACCTCGAAGCGTATAGAGACATGATTTTAAAGTCCCAAGAGGATCAGAAAGAGGCTAAACCTTCTTCTAACACAGATAAAGATGACAAAGAGCAGCACTATCAACCTCCTGCAAGGGTAGACTACGGTTGTCTTTGCAAATCTTGGCCAACTCTAGAAGACACTAACAAAAAACTCAAAAATTTAGAGGCCAAACTATCCTTAAACAACCACAAAAACAACCAATACGAAGCAAATTTCTGAGGAATATAGCTTTTGTGACTTTCAATACTCATAAGGAGAGAAATGACTTTGTAGAGAAGTTCAAAATGTCGTCATTCCAAAGAGTGGTAAACTTTGTTAAAGCTAAGATTTTTAAATGTAAGAAGCTTCAAAGTGACCTTCACTACGATTCAAAAAGAATTAAAGTTGAACCAGCTCCAGATTCATCTGATATTTATTGGGAGAACCTTGGATTTTCAAAAGCAAGGAGACTCAGACGAACTATCTTGACATATTTTATCACTATTATCTGTCTAGGAGCATCCTTTGGTATGAATCTTTCTATTGGAATTCTCAAAGATCACCTTGAGAAGAGAGCAAAGAGTAGTCAAGACAGTTCAAGCTTTAACCACATTATCATAATGCTTTGAATAAACATAGCTAGTTCCTCAATAGTAGCAGGTATGAATTTCAGTATTGACAAAATTATTCGATTGTTGTCTTTATTCGAAAGGCATGAAACCTACACACAGTTTAATATCTCAGTGGCTATTAAGTTAACCTTCGCAATATTTGCAAATACAGGGATAATTCCTTTGTTTGTGAATTTCTCCAAAGATAATTGGTTTACTCCAAGCGGGCTTTGCACAGATATCTCCTTTAATATCCTCGCTTTGTGCCTCATTGGACCAATTCTGTATATCTTCGATCCAGTATATATCAATAAGCTAATCAAGAAGAAGCTAGAGATGAGAAAAGGAATCAGATCAAAAATGACCCAGCGTCAAGTTAATGAACTCTTCGAAGGCGAAGAATTTGATATTGCACAAAGATATTCAGTCACCCTCTCTCTTGCAATGATAGTGATGCTATATATGACCATAAATCCTTTTATCTCTGGAGTAGCGATTTTAGGGTGAATTTTTCAGTACTGGGTAACAAAAATAATGCTTCTCAGAAGACACAACACTCCAAATAAATTAGGAAAAGGATTGGACCAATATATCAGATCCTTTCTGCCTCTCATGACTTTCCTCTACTGCTTTGGGCATTTCTATACAATTTATCGTCTCTCAGAGGGTAAAAATTACTTGATATATGCTCAATTTCTGATTCCAATATGCCATATTTTCATTCCTGAAAAACTAATCCATTGAATTTTATGCATCAAAAAGGAACAGAAAAAGCCAGATGCCTCTTTCAAAGAAAGGGCCAAGGATCCTCTCGATCGTTACGACCAGTGGAAATACCATTATCTTGAAGAATCTGGTGATCAAAATGAAGATTCTGAATGCTCAGAAGAAGATCTTGATCTAGCCCTCGAAAATATGAGGCGTCAAAACTCAGGAAGTAACAAAAGGAGATTTAGCAAACCTGTAATTGACCAAATTCAAGAAGACGAAAAGGATCGAGAGAAAGAACCAGATGTGTATAGAGAGAAACTTGACCTCAGCCAGCTGATCAAGTACGGGTTCAAAGATATGAATAAACATATTGTGTGGGATCCCTTGGTCGAGGCAGGATTTGATCCGATGAAAATGAGGAAGGGAAATTCAGAAGGTCCCTCATTGACTAAACGGAAAATATCAAAAGGGACCACATTAAATCCGATGAATTTTGCTAATAAAGGTCAAAGCATCAGTATTCTTTTAGCTTCCTAATTTTTAGATCCTACTGCTTTTATTAGGAGAAACCAAACAAAAGATTTAAACTCAAGTCAAATGTAATAAATCATGGTTAATTTTGTTAGGCTCAGAGACCTTTTGAGTCCACTTTCAAAGAAAAAGAACCAGAAATCCGGTTTAGGTGGAAATATTAAAATGTAAGAGAGGTTTAGAATTGAGTGAAGATCAGGGAATATAATTTTAAAATATATCTATATTATTAATCATTTTTCCTATAGAGCAAAGAATACTTCTGAACCTTCCAAAAACACTCAAATTGGTCCATTGATTCAACATAATGAAATTAATATGTCTAAACTGTCTTCTCAAAACAAATTATCAATGGACAAAAATAACTCAGGAAAGACTTCAAGCCATGAAGTTAAAGAAAATCCAAAAGATGCTTTAATGGCTCAAATCGAAGAGGAGATATCTGAAGAGCACTCTTCTTTCCAAAGCTCATCGGATTTCTCAAGCTCATCTAACTCATCAGACTTAGGAATTTCAGAGCAAGATATTTCAATACATATCCCAGAAGACCAGCAGCATACATTGATCACTCCAGTGGGTCATCTCAAGACTGATAAAATTGGTCAGAAAGACCCAACAACACAATGCAGTAATCCTGATGTGAATAATGAACGCCCAAGTTTATAGACTAGATCTTGGAGTATTTTAGATATAATCATTTCAATCAGATTGAAACCTCTTGGGGTTTTGGGGTTTTGGGGTTTTGGGGTTTTGGGGTTTTGGG